AAAAGTAATCTATATAGATTTGTTTTCAGTACATCGAAGAAATTTACATGAAATGGTTCTGTAACATCTCCTAAGCTACACAACATACCAGCATAAACATAACAAACTACTACCGATAAAATATTTGTTATTTAGACTAAGCATCAACATTCACAACCACTGTTATTTTTTATGGAAAGCAAGCATGGGCTGCTGCGTGCATGGTTTGGCATGGCATAATGCAAGCAGCACACTTCCTTTATTATCACAAAAAGCTGACATCTCAGTTAATCGCGATCTCTTAAAGCTCTGTTATAACACTACATATACTAAATATATACACAATGAATCTTTCAGAGTGTCTAAAATGAGAGGATTCGTGAGCACGCAATTTCAGCACTGCGGTGAGTAGATTCTAACTTGATCACCTCTGATTGGCCATTGCGTTCCAGAAATCAACAGTCAAAATCTGTGATTGGCTACATTATAAATGGAGCTAGGCGATGTCTAGCTTGCGCGTTAATCATTTTAATGTTAATATTAGTTGTTCTTTTTGCTTTAGTGCAACAGATAAATAACAATTTATATGTTTTAGACACTTTATGTTTAGATCATTTCTATTTGGCGGGAGTCCCGCGAATCATTTTATTCTCCCGCATCCCGCACACACACGAGTCTCTTCACGCCCGCACCCGCACTCACCCATCAAGAGTTGTCCCGCGCCGCACACTGTTGCGTTGGGTCCCGCGGGAGTGCAGGTCTCTACTATAAACAGAGATAGGTTATGGTTTAGATATATATCGATGTTAGACTTTAGATTGTAAAATGCTTTTGGGACCTGTTATAGATCAAATCCAGTGAAGAATAAGATAATAAAGACGTTTAATGTTTTATGTGAGTATGTTTCTGTCTCTTGTGTATAAAATTTACTTATTTACTTACTGAGAAAGATACACCACCGTTCACCATTTGGGGTCAGTATGTTTGTTTGTTTATTTATTTTGGAAAGAAATGAATACACTTATTCAGCAAGGATATGTTCAATTGATCAAAAGTGACAAATACTTTTATAATGTTACCAAAAAATGTGTTCTGAAAAATGCATCATGGTTTCCACAAAAATATTGAGCAATACAGATGTTTTCACCATTGATAATGATATGAAATGTTTCTTAAGCAAGTGGGGAAGCTTATTAGAATGATTTCTGAAAGATCATGTGACTCTGAAGACTGGATTAATAGCTGCTGAAAATTCAGTTTTGCCATCACAGGAATAAATTACATTTTAAAATATATTAAAATTGAAAGCAGTTATTTTAGTGTTGTACTCGTAAGTTAATAAAGAAATTTATTAAAAATAAATAATATTTATATTTGTATTAAAAAATGCAGCTGTGGGGAGCCTAAGTTCTTTCATAATTGAGCACTTTTTCAAAAACATTCAAAATCCTTACACATCTGTTCAAACGTTTGGGGTTGGTATATTAGGAAGCAAGATTTTGTAAATTGGTGAAAAATGTTGTAGATGTGCATTTGTGTGTGTGTGGAATGTCCCCATAAAACATGGAAACACAACATGTGTGTGTGTCTGTCTGTCTGTCTGTCTGTCTGTCTGTCTGTCCTCCAAATACAATTTGTATTTAAAATATTTGAATTGTTTCTCTAGGTGATGAGATGTGGGTATATTCTGCCAGTACTCTGGAGCGAGATTATCCCAAGAAGATCTCCAGCATGGGTCTTCCTTCAGATTTGCATGGAATTGATGCTGCCTACTCCTTCCACAAGAGCAAGAAGACTTACATATTTGCTGGAAACAAGTTCTGGAGGTAATCTATTTTTAAATATGTCTCAGCATCTGTGGGCTTAATAAAGTATGTGTTCATTGTGATTAATGAGCAAAATACAATTGTTCCTTAAAAAACTAAAGTTGTGAATTGTGAAATTCTTTTTCCACCGATGTAGAAATTATTTTTAATAACTCCGAACTCAGACTGTTATATCTTTGAGATTTACTGGAATTTACACATGCTTTTAAAACTACACACCTACTGAAGGAGTGTCAGGGAATTTCAAAGTTAAGGAAAAGTAGAAATATGTTGATTATAATGTTCACTTTTTTCTATGACTTCTCAGATACAATGAAGCCAAGAAAAAGATGGATCCAGGCTTCCCTAAACTTATTGCAGATTCTTGGAGTGCTGTCCCTGATGACCTAGATGCTGCTCTCAGTCTCAATAGTGACGGTAAGAGACTAATGGCCAAGCACCTGGCTTCAGATCCAGCTTTGTCTGTGGTATTCCTCTGCAGAGAAAACCTGACCTCTACCCTGAATTAACCTTTCATCTCATTCCTTTCCCCTCTCTCACCTACATTCTGTTAGATCTCACATACTTTACTGATTTCTTTCAATAACTGCTTGAATTTTAGTGCTCAATGTGTGAGTGAATTGGACCAAAGTGGAGCCTGGTAGAGCATTCTTGGCACTTAACTCCAACCCAATTACTGCTGGCTTTAGGCCTTCAACAACAACAAAAAAAACCCAGCTATATGGTTCCCCCCTGCTCAAGATGAGGCATTTTTTTCCAGTAACAGCCTCTGTCTAAAGAGCACATAAAACTCTAAATGAGAGAAAAACTTGGAGAGAGAGCTTAAGGATTTATAACTTTTGCTTAGATCTACTAGAATTTACTTAACATACATGTTTTTACAACCACCCAGCTCTTTCCTCTGCTGTCACTAACACACATTTACACTCATACAGGTACATACACACACATGTACACGCCTCATAGAGCAGGCCTGTGTGGTGTCTGAAAGGTTCCTCTGTTTGTAATTAGGCTGTTTGGAGCTGAGCAAGTAAAAACAGCTTCTCTAGGTTGTGAATTAGAGCCCACTCTTCAAAATTTTAGATAATTTGATCACTGATTGATGGATAAATTGAGTCATTGATTAACTAACTCTATTAAATAGACACTATTTAATTTACCTAATTTTTCTATTGTTTTTTACACTACTTTTCAAAAGTTTGGAGTCGGAAAAATGAATAATTTTATTAAGCAAAGACATTTACATTGTTACAAAAAAAAATATTTCGCATAAATGCTGTTCTATTTACACTTATTCAATATTTTCAGGTCACAGCTACTTCTTCAAAGACTCCCACTATCTCAAAATGGATGACAGCACTCTGAAAATGATTAAAGTTGGGGAGATCAAAAAGGACTGGCTACGTTGCTGAACATTCAGCCCTGGCACTCTGTGATGACCTTCATCACTAGATAAACAAGGCCAGTGTTACCTTGCCAAATGACAGCACTCAAATTTACCATTCTGCCCCGCCTGGTTAGTCAGAGCCTATAAGATTATAACCTATCCTTAGCTAACCAGAGCGGCCTGAAAGCCTTCACAGCCTGGACCATCTCTGCATGCCAAACATAGGCAGAAAAGACTGTCATTTTTGTTGTTTTGTCATTGCGTGATATTTTTTGTTCATTTTTAATTATGAAAGGGTTTAGCTCCTACCCCTTAATATAGCCTACATGTAGATTATCAGATTTAAAAGGACTTATGACATTTCCCAGTTACATGTAAATGTGGCAGTGGTGTCAGTGAGATGTATCTCCTTTTTTTTTTTTTTTTTCACAGAATAAATTCATCCAAGCAATATGTAAAAGCACAAATTTTCCTAGTACTGATATGCAAAGATGAAAGACTTAATTCATGTTTTATTTTGTAGTAAATACTGTCCAATAAAACATCCTGCATTTAATACGAGGACACATTTTATACATGATAATTGTGTAAAAACAGAGACCAAACAACTGTCAAAGCATATCATTTTTGTTAGTCTTGTGTCTTTCGTCTCATGGTACAGAGAGATTCATGGCACGGGTTGCCTGAAGACTGTATAGGGTTTGTTGCATGATGGACTCATGTCAAGCAAATATCATGAGATTACTGAATAATAATCATTTGTACTCTTATTTTTTTTTTATTGTTTTGTTTTTTTGGTAGTTTTTTTTTATTGACATATGCAATCTGTTTATATTTGTAATGTTTTATTTTTATTATTTTCTATTTTGCTTTGTGCACTTTGTCACTGTCTCAAAATAAATATTAACTATCCTTTACATGGAATTTTGCCATTTAACTTTTCAGTTTTAACATAGGTTTTGTAAAGCATTGAGCCTCGTGATGATCATGTGGGTGGGTTCTTCTTTTTTTTTTTTTTTTTTTGCACAGAATAAATTCATCCAAGCAATATGTAAAAGCACAAATTTTCCTAGTACTGATATGCAAAGATGAAAGACTTAATTCATGTTTTATTTTGTAGTAAATACTGTCCAATAAAACATCCTGCATTTAATACGAGGACACATTTTATACATGATAATTGTGTAAAAACAGAGACCAAACAACTGTCAAAGCATATCATTTTTGTTAGTCTTGTGTCTTTCGTCTCATGGTACAGAGAGATTCGTGGCACGGGTTGCCTGAAGACTGTATAGGGTTTGTTGCATGATGGACTCATGTCAAGCAAATATCATGAGATTACTGAATAATAATCATTTGTACTCTTATTTTTTTTTTATTGTTTTGTTTTTTTGGTAGTTTTTTTTTATTGACATATGCAATCTGTTTATATTTGTAATGTTTTATTTTTATTATTTTCTATTTTGCTTTGTGCACTTTGTCACTGTCTCAAAATAAATATTAACTATCCTTTACATGGAATTTTGCCATTTAACTTTTCAGTTTTAACATAGGTTTTGTAAAGCATTGAGCCTCGTGATGATCATTTGATTTTCACACCAAGAAAACAGTATGTATGGTTCCCGTTATTAAACTCCTTTAAAATTACTCGTCACATTTGGACAAACAGCGACATCTAGTGGTTATTGTATAAAAAGCCGAGCTCTCAATAGGTTTATAGAATAGAATAGAACTTTATTTGTCATTGTTTAGGAACAACGAAATACAGTTTAGCAGCTCTTCAGATTAGCAGGTAACAAACAGTATGACAGTGTTTATAAACAAGAAAGTAGACATTATACACAGACAGCAACATTCAAGACAGGCATAAATATAAGAATATAATTACACTGAGGTAGTGCAGTGAGGTAGTGTAAGATGTACCATGTATTCAATACCCTGCATAATTATCTATGGGTTAAAAAAAAAGCTTATATTGTACTTTTTGATTGTGGCAGTGTTTTGATTTTTTTAATGTTTTGAAAATATCTTTACTGTAATAGGCCTACAGAAATACACGGCTGAACTTAAATTTGTCTACTTTAAACCTAGAATGCAGTTTTGGTTTGAATGGATTGCAGGTAAATATACTTAATTTTATGTCCTGTTCTTAAACATCCCGTTACTGTTTTGCTAAGTGAATAACCGTTTTAACGATTCAGTGCGTGTCCGAACTGTTCAAGAGGGTCTAGCTGCAGCCTTGCACTTGCACGCTCAGGCTTGCATTCTCAGACACTTGCGCTTCCGCTAGCGACGTCACTTGCAGTCTTTTATTTTTTTTATTTTGTTCTATTTATTTATTACTTTTTGTTTAAATCTCTCAACATTGTACAACAGTAGCCAGGTGGTGAAGACAAGAAAAAAGAAACTAAATTACGAAGTCACTTGCAATCGCCGCTTGCACTCTCCGATACCTGCGACGTCACTTGCAATCGACACAAATGGTGCGTGTTGCCAATGGAGACAAGACGCTGTGGTGATTAAACGATTAAAACTAATTTAGTACAATAACGTACAGAGTCCTGCAAGTCATCTGTATGAGAAAAAGACAAGACCCGCAATTCAGTGGCCACAGAACAGCAGCATATGAACGCAATGTGCAAAGTCTCTCGTTAA